TTGCGCAGCGTGGGCAGCAGCGGTGCATAGCTGGGCACACACCAACAACTGTCTATGTATACACAATGTAACATCGCGATACTCACACTGGCCGTGAGCGACAGGAACGTGTAGTACTTGCGCAGCGTGGGCAGCAGCGGTGCATAGCTGGGCACACACCAACAACTGTCTATGTATACACAATGTAACATCGCGATACTCACACTGGCCGTGAGCGACAGGAACGTGTAGTACTTGCGCAGCGTGGGCAGCAGCGGTGCATAGCTGGGCACACACCAACAACTGTCTATGTATACACAATGTAACATCGCGATACTCACACTGGCCGTGAGCGACAGGAACGTGTAGTACTTGCGCAGCGTGGGCAACAGCGGTGCATAGCTGGGCACACACCAACAACTGTCTATGTATACACAATGTAACATCGCGATACTCACACTGGCCGTGAGCGACAGGAACGTGTAGTACTTGCGCAGCGTGGGCAGCAGCGGTGCATAGCTGGGCACACACCAACAACTGTCTATGTATACACTATGTAACATCGCGATACTCACACTGGCCGTGAGCGACAGGAACGTGTAGTACTTGCGCAGCGTGGGCAGCAGCGGTGCATAGCTGGGCACACACCAACAACTGTCTATGTATACACAATGTAACATCGCGATACTCACACTGGCCGTGAGCGACAGGAACGTGTAGTACTTGCGCAGCGTGGGCAGCAGCGGTGCATAGCTGGGCACACACCAACAACTGTCTATGTATACACAATGTAACATCGCGATACTCACACTGGCCGTGAGCGACAGGAACGTGTAGTACTTGCGCAGCGTGGGCAGCAGCGGTGCATAGCTGGGCACACACCAACAACTGTCTATGTATACACAATGTAACATCGCGATACTCACACTGGCCGTGAGCGACAGGAACGTGTAGTACTTGCGCAGCGTGGGCAGCAGCGGTGCATAGCTGGGCACACACCAACAACTGTCTATGTATACACAATGTAACATCGCGATACTCACACTGGCCGTGAGCGACAGGAACGTGTAGTACTTGCGCAGCGTGGGCAGCAGCGGTGCATAGCTGGGCACACACCAACAACAGTCTATGTATACACTATGTAACATCGCGATACTCACACTGGCCGTGAGCGACAGGAACGTGTAGTACTTGCGCAGCGTGGGCAGCAGCGGTGCATAGCTGGGCACACACCAACAACTGTCTATGTATACACAATGTAACATCGCGATACTCACACTGGCCGTGAGCGACAGGAACGTGTAGTACTTGCGCAGCGTGGGCAGCAGCGGTGCATAGCTGGGCACACACCAACAACTGTCTATGTATACACAATGTAACATCGCGATACTCATACTGGCCGTGAGCGACAGGAACGTGTAGTACTTGCGCAGCGTGGGCAGCAGCGGTGCATAGCTGGGCACACACCAACAACTGTCTATGTATACACAATGTAACATCGCGATACTCACACTGGCCGTGAGCGACAGGAACGTGTAGTACTTGCGCAGCGTGGGCAGCAGCGGTGCATAGCTGGGCACACACCAACAACTGTCTATGTATACACAATGTAACATCGCGATACTCACACTGGCCGTGAGCGACAGGAACGTGTAGTACTTGCGCAGCGTGGGCAGCAGCGGTGCATAGCTGGGCACACACCAACAACTGTCTATGTATACACAATGTAACATCGCGATACTCACACTGGCCGTGAGCGACAGGAACGTGTAGTACTTGCGCAGCGTGGGCAACAGCGGTGCATAGCTGGGCACACACCAACAACTGTCTATGTATACACAATGTAACATCGCGATACTCACACTGGCCGTGAGCGACAGGAACGTGTAGTACTTGCGCAGCGTGGGCAGCAGCGGTGCATAGCTGGGCACACACCAACAACTGTCTATGTATACACAATGTAACATCGCGATACTCACACTGGCCGTGAGCGACAGGAACGTGTAGTACTTGCGCAGCGTGGGCAGCAGCGGTGCATAGCTGGGCACACACCAACAACTGTCTATGTATACACAATGTAACATCGCGATACTCACACTGGCCGTGAGCGACAGGAACGTGTAGTACTTGCGCAGCGTGGGCAACAGCGGTGCATAGCTGGGCACACACCAACAACTGTCTATGTATACACAATGTAACATCGCGATACTCACACTGGCCGTGAGCGACAGGAACGTGTAGTACTTGCGCAGCGTGGGCAGCAGCGGTGCATAGCTGGGCACACACCAACAACTGTCTATGTATACACTATGTAACATCGCGATACTCACACTGGCCGTGAGCGACAGGAACGTGTAGTACTTGCGCAGCGTGGGCAACAGCGGTGCATAGCTGGGCACACACCAACAACTGTCTATGTATACACAATGTAACATCGCGATACTCACACTGGCCGTGAGCGACAGGAACGTGTAGTACTTGCGCAGCGTGGGCAGCAGCGGTGCATAGCTGGGCACACACCAACAACTGTCTATGTATACACAATGTAACATCGCGATACTCACACTGGCCGTGAGCGACAGGAACGTGTAGTACTTGCGCAGCGTGGGCAGCAGCGGTGCATAGCTGGGCACACACCAACAACTGTCTATGTATACACAATGTAACATCGCGATACTCATACTGGCCGTGAGCGACAGGAACGTGTAGTACTTGCGCAGCGTGGGCAGCAGCGGTGCATAGCTGGGCACACACCAACAACTGTCTATGTATACACAATGTAACATCGCGATACTCACACTGGCCGTGAGCGACAGGAACGTGTAGTACTTGCGCAGCGTGGGCAGCAGCGGTGCATAGCTGGGCACACACCAACAACTGTCTATGTATACACAATGTAACATCGCGATACTCACACTGGCCGTGAGCGACAGGAACGTGTAGTACTTGCGCAGCGTGGGCAGCAGCGGTGCATAGCTGGGCACACACCAACAACTGTCTATGTATACACAATGTAACATCGCGATACTCACACTGGCCGTGAGCGACAGGAACATGTAGTACTTGCGCAGCGTGGGCAGCAGCGGTGCATAGCTGGGCACACACCAACAACTGTCTATGTATACACAATGTAACATCGCGATACTCACACTGGCCGTGAGCGACAGGAACGTGTAGTACTTGCGCAGCGTGGGCAGCAGCGGTGCATAGCTGGGCACACACCAACAACTGTCTATGTATACACAATGTAACATCGCGATACTCACACTGGCCGTGAGCGACAGGAACGTGTAGTACTTGCGCAGCGTGGGCAACAGCGGTGCATAGCTGGGCACACACCAACAACTGTCTATGTATACACAATGTAACATCGCGATACTCACACTGGCCGTGAGCGACAGGAACGTGTAGTACTTGCGCAGCGTGGGCAGCAGCGGTGCATAGCTGGGCACACACCAACAACTGTCTATGTATACACAATGTAACATCGCGATACTCACACTGGCCGTGAGCGACAGGAACGTGTAGTACTTGCGCAGCGTGGGCAGCAGCGGTGCATAGCTGGGCACACACCAACAACTGTCTATGTATACACAATGTAACATCGCGATACTCACACTGGCCGTGAGCGACAGGAACGTGTAGTACTTGCGCAGCGTGGGCAGCAGCGGTGCATAGCTGGGCACACACCAACAACTGTCTATGTATACACAATGTAACATCGCGATACTCACACTGGCCGTGAGCGACAGGAACGTGTAGTACTTGCGCAGCGTGGGCAGCAGCGGTGCATAGCTGGGCACACACCAACAACTGTCTATGTATACACAATGTAACATCGCGATACTCACACTGGCCGTGAGCGACAGGAACGTGTAGTACTTGCGCAGCGTGGGCAGCAGCGGTGCATAGCTGGGCACACACCAACAACTGTCTATGTATACACAATGTAACATCGCGATACTCACACTGGCCGTGAGCGACAGGAACGTGTAGTACTTGCGCAGCGTGGGCAGCAGCGGTGCATAGCTGGGCACACACCAACAACTGTCTATGTATACACTATGTAACATCGCGATACTCACACTGGCCGTGAGCGACAGGAACGTGTAGTACTTGCGCAGCGTGGGCAGCAGCGGTGCATAGCTGGGCACACACCAACAACTGTCTATGTATACACAATGTAACATCGCGATACTCACACTGGCCGTGAGCGACAGGAACGTGTAGTACTTGCGCAGCGTGGGCAGCAGCGGTGCATAGCTGGGCACACACCAACAACTGTCTATGTATACACTATGTAACATCGCGATACTCACACTGGCCGTGAGCGACAGGAACGTGTAGTACTTGCGCAGCGTGGGCAACAGCGGTGCATAGCTGGGCACACACCAACAACTGTCTATGTATACACAATGTAACATCGCGATACTCACACTGGCCGTGAGCGACAGGAACGTGTAGTACTTGCGCAGCGTGGGCAGCAGCGGTGCATAGCTGGGCACACACCAACAACTGTCTATGTATACACAATGTAACATCGCGATACTCACACTGGCCGTGAGCGACAGGAACGTGTAGTACTTGCGCAGCGTGGGCAGCAGCGGTGCATAGCTGGGCACACACCAACAACTGTCTATGTATACACAATGTAACATCGCGATACTCATACTGGCCGTGAGCGACAGGAACGTGTAGTACTTGCGCAGCGTGGGCAGCAGCGGTGCATAGCTGGGCACACACCAACAACTGTCTATGTATACACAATGTAACATCGCGATACTCACACTGGCCGTGAGCGACAGGAACGTGTAGTACTTGCGCAGCGTGGGCAGCAGCGGTGCATAGCTGGGCACACACCAACAACTGTCTATGTATACACTATGTAACATCGCGATACTCACACTGGCCGTGAGCGACAGGAACGTGTAGTACTTGCGCAGCGTGGGCAGCAGCGGTGCATAGCTGGGCACACACCAACAACTGTCTATGTATACACTATGTAACATCGCGATACTCACACTGGCCGTGAGCGACAGGAACGTGTAGTACTTGCGCAGCGTGGGCAGCAGCGGTGCATAGCTGGGCACTCGCTCGCGTACGGCGGCTGCGTGAGTTGGGGCTGCACAGGCCGCGTGTCCCAGCAACAACGCGATGTACGCACACACCATAGTGTGCTCCATGTGGGCTCCGGCACGCGCTAACACTGCAAAAGCAAAATTAAAGTTAAAGATAACATAAGCCATCATCAGCCAGAATTGCCTTAAAGCCCTATAGTACTCAAGCATGCCGTGTTTGATCCCCGCTTATAACAAGGATATTGTTAATTGTAATTTTAAGTGATTTAATTGTGATTTACTCTGAGCACAGCTGTGAAAGAAAAAATCATGAGAGTCAACAGTTATGTCTCGTTTGAGGTGTTGCAAAGTCTGCCAAGATGTATTGCGGCAGCGAAGCAGCAAAATTTTCCATGCTTTAAAAAGGCTCTCAGGACTAAAAGGTCTGTGCCCAGTGAAGCAAAAGGCATTATAGTGCCACCAGAATTCAATAAGATCGCATTTGAGCTAGGATACAGTGTTATGGTTGACCCGAGGTGTAGGACCAGCCTGAGGTGGCCACTGGCCATTCAGAGCGGGGTTAGCGAGCCCACTTCGCACCTAAACCACTGCCGCAATGCACAGCATCTGCTTATGCAGACTATTGTGGAGTGGCGAGTTGCCCTTGCAGTAATAGCGGAGCCTTATGTCGTCCCCGACCACCCTCGCTGGTTTGGGGATGAATCGGGCTTCGTTGCCATCTGCTGGGGGGGCGGAGAGGGTGCCCCACCCTGAGCACTTTTGAGAAGAGGGCAGGGCTTTGTTGCAGTGCAATGGGGCCCCATGGCCATAATCGGCTGCTACGTGGCCACCGCATGGAAAGAGGCAAGGTTGGTTCTCTTGACGAAGGAAGGCAGGGCCGCCGACTCCCTCTGCGTACCGTCCCATATGCCTCTTGGACGAGATCGGCAAATTGTTCGAAAGAATAGTTGCCACTCGGCTGAACGGGCATCTGTCGCGCGTTGGTCCCGATTTGGCTGATAGCCAGTTTGGATTCCGACGGGAGCGTTCTACAGTAGATGCCATCATGCGCGTCCGCTCCCTGTCGGAACAAGCAGTATCCCAGGGTGGTGTGGCGTTGGCGATAAGTCTCGGTATCATCAACGCCTTTAATTCTCTACCCTGGGGCGCAATCCGGAGCGCACTGGCACACCATCAAGTGCCCCCCTACCTGCAAGGTGTTATTGGGGACTACTTGCGCGACAGGTACATCCTGTACATGGGGCAAAATGGTAGAAAGATCAGGAGGGAGATCAGAAGTGGGGTTTTACAGGGCTCGGTGCTGGGGCCGCTACTGTGGAACCTCGCCTATGATGCGGTTCTGCGAGTTGAACTTCCCGCTGGCGTAGATATCGTTTGCTATGCCGACGACACGTTGGTGGTTGCCAGCGGGGCCAACTTCGAGAGGGCCAGAGCTCGCCGAGCTTGGGGCGGTAGTCGACGTCGCCAAAATCCACGAGTTGGGATTAGAAATAGCGCCTCACAAAACCGAGGCGTTATGGTTCCATAAATTACGTCGCGGCTGGGAACCACCCGACTCGCGTAGGTGGGTCTGAAGTCCAAGTGGGGCGGTACATGAAGTACCTATCCTCCCTCCACCTGGATAGTCGATGGGGCTTCGAAGGACACTTCGAGCGCCTTGTCCCCCGAATTGAAAGGGTAGCGGGTGCTATGCATAGACTGCTGCCCAATCTAGGGGGACCAAGGGAAGAAGCGCGTCACCTCTATGCAGGAGTGATACGGTCCGTAGCCTTGTACGGGGCGCCTGTTTGGGCGAAAAGGCTGACCATCCAACGCTGTAGAGCTAAAATCTACAGCGTGCAGCGGAGGATGACCATACGGATCGTGCGAGGATACCGCACAATATCCTTTGAAGCGGCGACACTCCTGGCTCGCTTCCCACCTCTGGACATACTGGCGGACATGGATGCGAGGGTGTACCACCGGACGCGTGTCCTCCGCCAGAGCGTCGGGAGTGAGCCAGATGAGGTGTTCGAAGGGGTCAAGCGGCAGGAACGAATTAACGCTTTCGAAACGTGGCGCGCTCACCTCTCTGAAGAGCGTTATGCGTGTAAACGCGTTGTTGGAGCAATCCTGCCGCACTTTGAAGCCTGGATGCATCGAAGAACAGGAAGACTCACCTACAGACTTACACAGATAATGACCGGGCACGGGTGCTTCGGTGATTATTTGTGTAAGATTGGAAAGAAGCGACGGCGAACTGTTTCCACTGCGGTGGGCAGTTACAGGACTCCGCATCCCATACGCTGGCAACATGCCCAGCGTGGGAACGGGAGCGGACGGTCCTGGTAAGCCGGATCGGTCAGAACCTCTCCCTGCCGGCAGTCGTGTCGGCGATGCTGAGCAGGGACTCCGCGTGGAGGGCCATAGCCACCTTCTGTGAATCCGTTATGATCCAGAAGGAGGCTGCTGAGCGGTGTCGGGAGAGGACAGATCCCGCTCGAAGACGACGCCGCCAAGGCGTTCGTCAGGGCCCTCCCCTTGATGATGGTGTTCCCCTACCAGAAACGGGGCCTCGGGGGTTACGGCCACTCGGGGCGGGGGCCCCGAGCGGCTAGTGATGTAACACCTGAGGAGGACGGTGACTTGAAAGTGGTCTCGAGCACCGAGATAGCATTGCGAGTGCTGGGGGTAGTAAAGACTGCCCCCGGGTCGTGCTTTAATAGAGCAAAGCGAGAGAGGGGCTCCGGTTGCGTTCCGAACGGAGATCCCGGGACCCCTCATATACGCTGATGGAGACCACCGTGGTGTTTTGGCCGGTAGGAGTCCGGCATAACCTTACCGTTGCCCCCGCAACAGAAGGTATCCATGAGGATTTCCCCACGATAAAAAAAGGACCGGCCTGAGGTAGCCACTGGCCATTCAGAGCGGGGTTAGCGAGCCCACTTCGGATGTGTGCTGGTGGGCTGCGGTGTGAGGCGTGCCCTCTTCCCCTACCGAGGCGGATTCGCGTGGGAAAAGGAGTGTTGGTATGGCAATACGCCACTCCTCCGCGACTCTGGCGAGATCGCACCGTTGAAGAAGCAGGGGAGGGGAGTTCTTCTACCGCTCTTCCTACGCTCTACCATCGACACTTGGTTAACGGCGGAGCCAGAGACCACATCCACTCGTGCTCGTACAGAGTGCTCGTTTTTTCTGGCCCCATGGCCTCCGCGTATCGGACTTGGAGGGTCCGTTATACAGATAAGAGTTAGAGGCCGCGGAGGAAGACGTGCTTTGTGTTCCTGGTGCGCCTTACCTGAGAAGGAAAAAGGGGAGGAGAAGTCCTCTCACGAGGAGGGGCTGCCATAGGGCAGCCGGCGCTGGTGGGGCTGCGGATGGGTGCAATAGCGTTCCCGTGGTCCTGCCTATATGCGGCGAAGGTTGAACACCGTGTGGTTTTTGTCAATGCGAGTTCGATATAACCCGTCCTTGCCCCGCGAGGGGGGTATTCGTAGGCATTTTCCAATGTAAATTAAGGTTACAGTTAAAGACATTTGTTCCTATGAAAAAAACCTCCCCACTTGTGCTTTTACAGATTTTTAACTCAACTTAATTACATTATCAATCTCAACTTACATTTAGCCACTGTTTCATCAATATCATCTTGAGACTGTTTCTTATCTTTTTCGTCGTCAGTTTCTTTCTCGCCATCTAACAGCGCATCTGTGGTTTCTTCAGCTCGCCTGTGGAAAAAAATTATATAAATATAAAGAAATTTTATTTTAGTCTTAAAATATGCATCGATTTTAAAATTAAGCTTATAAAATTTCCCTCTTGGTAGTGTACGTTAAACATCGATAGACTATCGATTAATCGATAGTGTTTACACTATCGATTGTATTGATAGTCTGGTTAAACTATCGATTGTCTTGCTTATCGTAATTTTTGTCTATAGTAGATGTCTCCCTTTAGTCTAAGGTCAGAGAAATCCCTGTAAATAAACTTATGTGTGTGTGTGTGTGAATTTCTAATTAATGTGTGACGCTAACGTAAGTCGCTATTTGTGTGAGTGCCAGAACGGGCGGTTGATCTTGCGTTTTATAGTTTACTGATGTTTTGTATTTGACTTCATAATGAATCGAAAATATATCCTAAAAATCAATAATTAATGTGGAGTTATTTCTAGATAGAGGACAGTAATAGTCCGTTTGTAAAGTGTAACTTTTATAATCAGGAATATAAGCTTTTAGGAAATCTCTTAGATTGGTCCTAAGAGATCACTTGTAAAAAAAGCAAGCTGATAAAATAGATAGGTTAGAATCGGAAGAGGGATCACTGTCTGAACATCAAGTTCAAGATAAAGTGCAACCAAAAAACTATCTAGAAGTTCTTTTAAGAATTATTTTAATAGAAATCAGTTGTTGAAGACAAAGGCTATTGTGACTTTCCTTCACAGTTCTACACTAGCCAGTGACAAATTGCGTATTTCTCAAAGACGAGCAAACAAAAAATTAATTACTTATTGTTATTTTTATTTGTGATACCTGATCGATAGTCTATCGATACATTTATGGTCTTATAAGAAACTATTGAATACTTCAACAATCGATGTTTAACGAACACTACCTCTTGTTTGAGTAGTTTTTATTTTATTTTATTATAATATTGTTGTTCAGGTTTTTATTTAACAATAGTTTGAGTTTCGTTAAAGGTCGTTTCGGTAAAGCTAGCATATTGTCATTCTAATAAAATTTTGTTTTTATTTATATTTTAATTTACCTCGCCAGCTCCTCTCGCTTGTAGAAAAGGTCGACTATGAGGTCCAAAGCAGATATACTTCTGGATATGATATCATGCTCATTATCGACACGTATTCTTACATTTAACAACTTTTCTGTATTACTCTCGTTGTTTTGCACCAGATTGATTAACAACAGTAAAACCTGCAATGTTAAATTATTGCTTATCATTTATGTAAATTAGATCGATCATTTGATCAGGAACACAATAAGTTAAAAAAATTATGTTATCTATGCAACACTGTAAATAGTTGTATTAATTAATAAATTTTGTAAGAATATTGCATGATAATTTTAAAAATAATTTGAATTGAAAATTGTGATATTTAACTAATTAAATGTATAATAAATAGGCGCCCCTTGGAAGAAGCCTATGCATAGCAGAGGTAGACCACAGGCTGATGATGTTGATATAAAATTATAATAAGAATATACTAAGGTAATTTACTTACACAAACACTAAATTCGAAGTTTTTACTGTCCGGTATAAAGTTGTCTTGATTGTTTAGCATTATTAGACAAATTTCCATGATTGATGGCTGCTCGCCCACAACTTGAGCTCCTATTGAGGCTGTGGGAGAAAAAAGCAAAAATATCAATAAGACATTATTAATTTAATAATGTTGCAACTAAAAAAAAACAAATAACTGCTTGGATGTTTGATTAAATTTTAATTATGGCAACATCTCATTAAGTCAATTCAATTTTTAAGTAACTAAGAAAAAGTGGGGCCGCCCTGATTGGCAGAAATAGTCAGAGCCCTTATTAAGGCTGTGGGAGAAAAAAACAAAAATATCAATAAGACATTATTAATTTAATAATGTTGCAACTAAAAAAAAAAAAAAAACTGCTTGGATGTTTGATTAAATTTTAATTATGGCAACATCTCATTAAGTCAATTCAATTTTTAAGTAACTAAGAAAAAGTGGGGCCGCCCTGATTGGCAGAAATAGTCAGAGCCCTTATTAAAATCAAACCTTCATGGTCTCCATGATTCAATTTGGTGAAGATTGTCCAATATATGTATATAAGAGGCACTAAAGCTTAACATTCTAAAAGCAAAAATTTATTAAATTTAGTATGACTTGACTTTCAATTGTTTTGACATTCCGTATTAGAGTTAAACATGGAGGAGACCCCAAAAAATTTAAGTAATTTTCGAATACGAGTTTTCGATCGTTACGGTTCTAACGCAGCGGTGACAGTTCGCAATATCAATTCTGCATATGGAGAGGGTACGACTAACAAACACACTCTGGGTTTTTGGTTTAATTGCTTTTGAAGTGGAAACTTCCAATTGAAGAATGAACCAGAAGGAAGACCGACATTAAGATTCATAACGATAAATTAAACTAATGGTATAAACAGATCCTTTAAAAACAACCAAGGACTTAGTGTCATTGTTTAACATTAGTTTGACCATAGTTTTAGATAAAATAATTCAAGAAACGGGTGCCTCATGCATTAACAGATATGTGAAGTGCCTTGTTTAAGTACAAAAATGTAGTTTGGACAGAATTGTGACATGTGAAGACCTAACCCCGGTAAAATACTGGAATAATGCACTAAAGTAAAGCTTACTTATAGAATAATAACTGTTTGGTGGACCTCATGGTGTAATTCACTATAGCTTTTTAAGATTCAGTGCATCAATATCAGATGTCTATTGTGAAAAACTTTAAACAAAGATGGCAAAACTAAAAAAAAAACAATATTACAAGACCTGCAGTTAGAAACTAAACATCATTCTTCGTACACACCAGATCTATCCCAACCAATTACAATTTATAATATGGAAAAAAATTGTTTTCAGAAACTGGTACAAAATGGTAGCAGCATCTTTCTGATAACAACCAAAATAATAATAAAAACTGCGTTTGCAAACCTGTCACTTAAGCGTGGCTTTATGGCACATACCACTCATTTTGGGTGTCGTAAGACAACAAAAGGAAATTAAATAGTAGTTGGGCAGCAGCAATTTCCTGACAACAAATCAAAGTAATAAAAATAAATGCAGTTGTCAACCCGTTAGCCATGTGTGGCAACTGTTCCCTCTATGAAGCAATCCATGGGAGAGGCTTTTTAGTAAATTATAGAAAATAATATGAGTTTAAAAAAACTTAAACAACACCCATTGATCATAAGCTGTTTTTTTACGTGGTAGAGCCATGTTGCAGCTATATTCCTGGTATAGTTGTAGCATGAAAGGGTCGGCTTGACCGGGGAAGGACCACGCTCTCACAGAATACCAGCGTAAAATACCAGCTTAACGCTGCTGTGTTTCGTATGGTGAGTGTAGAGAACTAGAGACCCTTTTTACTGGAAACGAGGCATTCCATCTTAATCCTCACGGGTGACAACGCATCAGCATTTTGTTTCGTAATCGAGGATAGATGTAGATGTCTATGTGCCACAGCAACTACTTACCATCAGATGGACTGTGTGCTCCTTTGTTACCCTTATCCTATAAAAAAAGCTGTGATTATCCTGATAATTATTTTATTTTATCTTGGTGATCCTGATCAGGATACTAGGATAGTTATTACGTTTTTGTATTGTCATCGATCTTCGATACAAGGTCGAAGTACGAGGTCCTAGAAGAAAAATTTCAAGGTCGAAGTACGAGGTCCTCAAAGAAAAATTTCAAGTCAATCGGCTATTTTCAATTTGGTGAAAATTACATTTCATTACATAGACAGGTAGCTACACGTACACAATATACACGGTAAGCTAATAAAAGCGTGTCAAAAGGAAACGGACCTGCGCTGCCGAAGCAGTGCGAGAGGTTGACGAGCACTTTGAGCGCGGGCAGCGCGGCGTCGAGCAGCGGCGCGCGCAGGCTGCAGTGCGGCGGCGGCGGGCGCGCGCGCGCCTCGCGCACGCAGCGCCGCAGCAGCGCCGCCAGGATGCGCGCGCCGCCCACGCCCGCGCCCACCAGGTACACCTGGTTGTCCTCGTTCTGCTGCGTCACCTGCGCACGCACACACACACCAACACATTATTGCCGTTTTTGATGTGCAACATCTTTCCTCCCGCTTTCCCGCATCTGTGGGTGTGATTTCGTGTAAAGGGACAGAACTGTGTAACAGGAAACCGCGACGAAGCGCGCTCTATTTGATTTGATCAACGAGCGCGCGCGGTAGTAGTAAAGTGTGTTATATAAACTAATATATAGGTGTAAACTATATTGATAAACCTGCATCTATCGACTTCCAGCATGTCTTACCAGGTTGTTACAACATCTAGTGGGGAGGCCGTCCTACACTTCGCCTACTGGTATAGGCTGCCACTCGAAAACCTTTCTTCCCCATCAATAGTCGCTTCTTCGACCTATATGCCGGTCCATTGCCATTTCAGCTTACGAATCCGACACACACAAACAAACACATTATTGCTTTCTTTTGGAAGTGAAAACTTCTTTAGAATCGTTGTGTTTTAAAACTCAATTAAACGAAAGTGACACAAAAGGAAACAAACATATACATCTATACGATTTAGCCCGCGAGAAAATGATATAGAATACAGTATAGTGTTTCCTATTATCTCGATCTCGTCTTTATGCAGTGCTTTAAAGATGTTAAAAAAATAAAAAGCCGGCCAAGTGCAAATCGGACTCACACAAGAAGGATTCCGTAAAATCGTAAAACACTACTAATAATAGGGAAGCCCCCTTTAATTTTTAATTTATTTTTATAACTTGTTGTTATAGCAGCAAAAATACACCTTCTGTGAAAATTTCAACTGTCTACCTATTACAGATCAAGAGATACAGTCCGCTGACAGACTGACGGACAGCAGATGCTTAATTGGGTACAGAACCCTAATTAACAAATTTAATAAATAAATAAAATTAATCATATTGAATAAAATTAACTATATTAATCATATTAAAAAAAATAACTCTAATCTGCAATAAAAGTGCCAACTTCTACTGCAAACTATATTATAATTTGTCTCTATAGCATGACATTTGGTATTATGTGAGTTCATATAATTGTATGTGATGTTTATTAAGCTGGGGATGCGCTAAAAATGTCTTGTGTGACAGTATAACAGAGCCTTAAGCCTTATTTACATGGGTTAGGTTGAGAAAAAATCTTTAGATGATGAAACATAGAACTGAAAGTTTTAAACTGCAGAAAGCAAACTTTTCTGCTCATTTCCTTAACTTTGTCTGTGGAAATTAACTAAATGTAAATAAGATATTAATATCAGGCATTACTTTGCGATAATCTATTGCATTAGAGGTGAAAACTTTACTTTTTCAGTCATGTAAAATTATATCCTTTGTTCTCTAAATTAGTATAAAAAGTAAAATGTTTCGTCCAGTGAGTACTAAACAAACTGAAGGTCAAAAGTTACATAAACCTTATCAAGAGCTGCGATTATGAAACTAGGCTAGTGACTAATTACTTAAACACAAATAAACGAAATATTATATAATTAGTTAACTTATTAACCAACAAAAATAAAGAAAGTTTGGTATACTTACCTGAGTGTTTATCAAGTTAGAACTCACAAAATAATGTTTCTATCATTTTAATTGCAAACTGTGATATAATATCTGTTCACTTACATTTAATCAATGAAAGAAAATGCATATTTTCAATCTGAAAAATTTGCACATATACAGCATGTTGAAATACTCACATTCTCCAAAACCCGCATACACCTATCAGCTTTTCTTAGCACATCTACTTCAGCACTGGTCCACATACTGGCAGGAGTCTCCAGCCTGCTTGCACAGTCTTGAATAGTGCGGACAATGTGATCTACACCACCCAACACACGTAGCTCCTCTTTAAACCATTCACCAGCTCGTTTTGATGTTAACGATAGTAGAGTTTCCATTGCCAAATGACCAACCTGAAAACAAAATTTTGATATTTAGAAACATAATTTTAAATACACATTGAAAAATGCAGTTGAGTAATAAGAGGGTGACACTGAAAGTTCTTAGAAAATTAAAAACTGAACAAACTACCAAATAATTAGTTTTATTATATCTTTTCTGTCCTTTTACATCAATACATCGCTGCATCCGATGGAAACACTGAGAAAAGCACTTTGCCCACTCGTCCTTAGGGGTCTCTTCGACGGCATTTTGAAACGCAGCCACTGCTTCCTCGGCGTCCATAAAACATTTTCCTCGAAGTTTTTCTTTTATTTTCGGAAATAAATTAAAATCGCAAGGTGTGAGGTTGGGGCTATAGGCCGGGTGACCCAGTAATTCCACGTCTAACGTCGCCAAGTAGTCGATTGTTTGCTTAGAGGTGTGCGACGAGGCGTTGTCGCGGTGAAGGAGGGTTCCACTGCGAGGTCGTTTCTCCCGAACTTTTTTAAAGACAAATGGCAAACAATTGTTAGTGTACCACTCTGCAGGAACTGTTTTTCGATCCTCTAAAACAATTGTTGCGTAATGACCTGTTTCAAAAGAACAAGGCCACCATCTTTTTTCCCCAAGCTTCAACCTCTCTTCACTTTAGTTGGCAACTCCCCGGAAGGAAACACCCAGGCAGCAGACTATCTCTTATTTCAGGATCATAACAATAAATCCACCTTTCGTCACCCATAAGTATGTCGAACACAGCATTGGAGTCACCTCCGTTAAATCTTTGAATCATTTCACGACACCAATCAACATGACGGAGTTTTTGGGCCTCTGTCAAATTATGAGGTATCCACCGGGCACAAAGCTTCCTGACAGCTAAATGTTCATGGAGGATTTTGTGCACTTGACTCATACCGACATCGAAAGTGATAAAAAAATCATTTTACGAAAATTTTCTCGTGTTAAATTCATGCTGACGTGACTCAGACAATTTTCAATTTGCGTAAACAAATAATAATAAACAATCGTAAACAAATGACAAATTAATAAAATACATACACAATAATATTTGCAGAGTTCCATTTTCAAAATTTGTACTTATTTTTTTATTATATCATTTACAAGTGGGTAGTTTTAAATACTTTCGATGTGAATTTGTTATGATTTCAAAACAACACTATATTACTCTATAATTAACAATTACTACATCATCTTACTTGTACATAAAATAGTTATATGTATAGATATTATGGCAAGATAGGGAAGTGATTTGCTTGGTGCAATCAGTCTGTTAACCAGAAAACTGCCAGATACCACCATCTATAATTAATTTCTAAATTAACTACCACAAAATGCTAAAACTCAATAAATTCCACTTACAGTAATGTTTTCCAAGTCCAAATGTGTTGCTTTCCCTTGACTCTTTATTTCAGCACATAGTTCTCGCACTCTTTCTTGAGTTTTCGCAAGTTGCGCTGACGTCAATCCACAGTCATCAAGGGCATTTCTGAGCATAATAATTAACCGATTAAGTAGAGTATTAAATTAATATTTATGTTAGTTTGTCATCTTTATTTCAGCTTAGTTAATGCATAGAAAATCCCTTTATATAATTCAACAAAACCAAATGATAATAAAAATATAACTTTGTACACATGATAAATGTTATGGTTTATTTTATACTATAAGCAATTTATGTAACATAATACCGAAACATTATTAACATTTATTACTTTTGATCTAGTACATTTTATTCAATGACGTTTTCTTGATTTTTCTCTACCACAGCGCGAACAAGTTTTCAAAATCAAAAATAAACATACAACAAAACCCATACTGTTGGTTCCAGTATTTTTTATTTTATAGTAATATTTTTTTATTAAGATTTACGGCTTGGATGCTTGTCCTTTAAGCCATGTCTTCATCTCATTCGGGATGTTAGTTTTTATAGATTCACATGTTGAAGTGATAATATAATAATCCTTTAATGTACACTGCTTCTCAATACATTGATGCATCACATTGGGTAGTTTTTGTGAGATTTTGACGGCAACTTGAGCCAGCAGAGCAGTTGGCGATTGTATCTCAAGGCGCCTAAGCAGACACCTTATCTTGAGATTCACATCACTATGGGACCACTTGTTTCACTATTTCTACTAATAGTTCACATGCGCAGACATTTAATATACAAAATGGCACCACTTTTACATATCAAAATCCACTTCAAACTATTATTCAAACAATAATACAGGAGCAGCAATCCGCCGCCATGCCAGTCAAGTTCCCGCCAAAACTTATTGTAACATCATACATAAATATAGAAATCATTCCTAGACATCTATATATTTAAAAGTATTTATTTGCATCTGTTTACCAACCTATTTGGACAGCATCAAAAACAAGTTTAAAAACAAATTGCGAGACTAACAAGCAACAATGCAAAAGTAAAGTGAGTTCTGTAGTTTTAATGATTAGCTATCTCAACTTTCTTTAACTAGTTTTGGAGTGGCAAGGGGTTGTATGTTATTTGACAAAGACAAGGCTTTTATAAGGTTTATTCAAAAAGAATAATATTATTTTTGTTTTATTTATCAACATTTATTTACAATGTATTTTAGCTTTATTATCATAATATTATAATAAAATTAATGTTATTATTTCTTTGGTTATCAATGTTTAGTCGTATACACTATCTAGGTTTTATAAGTTGTTATCACTTTATTTTTCATTCTATTTATATATTTATTTATATTTATGGTGTACTTTTTATATTATATATTACATAGACAAAACTTATGTTTGGTGACTGCTTGTAATATTTAGATAAGTGCTCAGACAGAACAGAAAAATATCTGCTGTTACATTGTATAAAATAATATACAATATGTTGCAATTATATAAATATTCTTTTGCAGCATCAAAATACCATGTTTCTTGCTTTCCAAAGCCTCAAAATTTTTCTGGTGTGGGAGTCCATTTTGCCAAAATGTTATAAAGAAGGTTACACCAATCAAAATATAACTAAAACTTGACAATTAACAAGTGCCTGAATATTATATAATGACTAACTTTACTGAAGTTCCAAAGAGATGAATTTTATTTCCCTGTCCCTAATAGTGATTCTCTTCACTAATATTTAACTTCAGTATGTACACCAAAAACCTAACAAGTCCAGAGAATACCAATGAAGAGAGGCAATTCTAATAACATATCATATAACTTGAGAAGAATGTTATGAAATTATTTTTTTTAATATTGAATGTACAGTATGAATTATGAAGAGTCAGTCAGTCAGTCAGTGTCAATATTAGTAATGTTATTTGCATTACTATTAATCTTATATTTTTATTAAAAAGAATAATGTTACAGTAACAGAAAATTTTAAATGATAGTTACTATAGTGTTTTGACCTTGAGGCTGCATAGTAATTTATTGACCTACCTATATTTTCTTACAATAATGAGGAAATCATCTATTAATAGCAGACCGTTGGGTAAATGTAATGATTGATGATTGACTAGTAGTGTACTCACTTGTGAGAAGCATCAGATTCAAGGAGATTCAACATGAGTTCCAGTGACTCTCTATCTAAATCCATATTTAGACGATCTTGAGAGAGCACAAACATAACTGTTGCTGTACATAATCCCAAGCTCTGAAAAATAATGCATAATAATTTTAATGATAAGAGAATTGGACAGTTAAAAATCATGTCAATAATTTCTTAACATAAAAGGCACACAATGTTAGCTGATTAAGACTACAATTAAATAATTTATGTTTTCATGTATAGACAGAGCTAGCTGCTGTATTATGCCTGCAGTATGAGTAGGTTGGCCCGACGGAAGGACTATATTTTTCACTAGATATCGGGAAATCCAACAAAATATAAAAATTAGAGTAAAATGGAAGTATAATCCTGCACGAGGAAACCCGCATATGTGAAAAATTTAATATTTCGAAATTTCGAAGTCATGTGAAGTCCGCCAATACAAATGAGGACATGTCATGGACTCTTCTCTACTCTAAAGAGATTTCTTTTACAAATAGGAAGAAACTTGAGCTTCCTGGGGCCCAGAAGGCAAAAGATGCATATCTTAGTTGTAACATAGTTGTAACTTCACTAATTAATAAATCTAATACATAAAAATAAATTTTTGTTTTTTCGTATTTTATGTGCTGCCATACTGATTTTTATATTTTCATTGAGGAATAAGACGTGTGAAAAGTTCATCAGTTTGTCTGCCAAGCTCGGGCGGGTATTATCGCAATTTCACAATGCTTGGAAGAAGCCTCAATCTAGCTGAGGTCTATTCAAACAAACTGATGACAAGTGTAATCACAAATAACCGTTGAATAACATATTATAATGCTAATAATTTCACTCAATATTACCTGATCATTGGTAGCGTCGTGTAGCGCGCTAAAGAACTTTTGCACGGTGCCATGTGCCCGCAAATGCATTCGGAACGCAGGCGCCGTACATTTACTCGCTAACGTGATAGCTGACAGGCATCGCGTCGACATTGGATTGTTGTCCTGTTCAGAAAATTGTTGTTCAGGTAATATCTATAGGGTATATAATGGGGTATAATAGAGAATACTTCAACCTTTTTCTTCAAATGCCAACTTCACTTGCTTCGTGGTGATGCAGTAAGCAAATCTTCCACAGAATGCCTTTAAGTTGGTGCATCCTCAAAAAGGACTATGTGATTCAGTATGAAAGACTACTATTAATTGATTTGTCAATAATGTTTAACTAAATTAATTATGTGTATGGAATTAACATAATCACCATGCACACCACTTCAAAATTAATTTGAAAAAAAAAAAACAAGGCAGACAATATTTTATTTGGGAAAAGAAATGATAGGGTAAAATCAACACATTATTTGAAGTACTTTTTAGGAGCTCTCAAAATAAAATAAAACTGTATTCTAAAAATCTAGGTACTTCATTTGTTTTAAACCAAAAGCTTTAAGGAAATACTAAAAGTAGCAAATTAAAATTGTACAATGTGATGTAGTAATTTATGAACAAAGGTGTCAACTGCCTTAAATAATAGTAAATAATTTGAATTTTTTTTATATTTATCAGAAACAAGAAAACAATAATAATTCATTGATAAAACTATACTTTCACATATATTAAATCTATGTAATATTCTACTCACATATTAACATTAGCTGTTCTAAAGACAGATATTATATATTTTAGTTATTTGTAATATAATATATGAAATCTCATATAAGAAGAAATTATTCAAGATTTTTAAAATTTATATCTATATCATAAGCATAGGACCTAAACTCAAATCACAATTTAAGCTCGAAAAACTCAATAATTAAATCAATTACACACCTGCAATGCGTCTAAAAGGTATTCCACATCATCATTGAACTCTTGGAACTCTCCAATTTCTTGAATTTGGTGGGCTTTCTTTACATTTCTCACAACAGTGTAGAACTACAAATGAAAAATTTTCAATTTAATGAATATAAAACTGAAATAAGAAAATAGAAACTGCAAATAAAAATCATGCATATTAAAATCACCAACAATAATATTACACTAATGTTGTTCCAGTTATATTATAAAGGTTTTTAGGACTACTAATAAATAGTACACACGTCATAAAAATGTATAGGAAGAATTCACTTTACATTTTCTGCACAGCTCTGCATGATCATGAAGCTATAAATGCTTTACAGTCTTATAAAAAGAATAATTCATTTGTTTATTGTCATCCTTTCCTTCATAGTTAAATAAGAAGAAATTTAATTTCAGAAGAATTATGAAATCTGTCTCTGTCTATCAAATAGAAATTAACAAATAAATTGCAATAAAATTTCACAACAGACCTATCTATTTACCTAATAGTAATCATTTATATTTCTTAAATATTATTGTTTCTAAATTTTTAGTGAAAATATTTGGTATATTTTGTTGGTATGTTCAAATGTTCACCACAGAAACAATATTTTTTTATTGATGGAATTAAATGTATATTTTGTCTATTTTAGATTGTGCTTAATGAAAACATTGTGTTACTTGCACTTAATATTTGATTATCACTCCCATGATTGAGATATCTTTTTTTTATAGACTAAGGGTGCCAAAAGAGCACACAGTCCACCTGATGGTAAGTGGATACTGAGGCACATAGATATTCACATTTATCCTAGATTAAGAATTAAAATGCAGATGCGTTGTCACCCCTGAGGACGAAGATCAAATGCCTCATTTCCTGTTAAAAGGGTCTTCAGTTCTCTACACTCATCATACGAAACACAGCAGCTTTAAGCTGCTATTTTACTCTGGTATTCTGTGAGTGTGGTCCTCTACCCCGGTTATGCCGACCCATTCATGCTACAACTATGTGATTCATTCATACCACATATAAAATCTATAATATATTTATTAGATTAGAGACATTGGCACAGGAGAATCATAATAACCCATACCCAGGATAACAGCACATACCTCCTTAGCTTCCTTAGCACATCTGACACTAGTATAGGGCATACCAGGATCTTTTGAATTCAAATCCGCAATAACTGGATCTGGGGACTTATATCTTGTAACTCGTGTTAATACCTCAGGTACTTCACTGACTGGATTTTCTACTTCTGTATTTTCTGATCTTTCAGGCCTAGGGGTCTCATTTCCTTTCTAAAACAATTTAATCACATTGTGTTGTTGGAAGAAAACAAAGAACACAAATAAAATTTCCATGCATACTATATCCATGCATATAATGGTATCTAGTATGACACTTCAACCTATTAAAGTTACGCCCTATATACATCTCACAGATGGGCACAGACCTCTCATCCCTGAGAGGATTTAGGGCAAGAAATGTCTGCCGCGCGCCTATTGTGACACTGTTAAAATGAGTTCAGTTAGTAGCAGTTAGAATTTAAGGCTGAGCACAAAGCAAAGTATCTCAAAGTAAAATTGAATTTTACAGTAGTAAATAAAGTACAAAACTGAAAACAATTGAGCTAGTACTGTAACTTTTTAAATCTATAATAAGATATTTTCTCAATAGATTGAAAAGCTCTAACAACTGATTATGTATTGTCATTAGCAATCTTTTATGTTCAGCAGTGGACTTTTGCACGCCTCACAATGAAATCACAATCCAAAATCGCAATCCTCTACTCTCGCTATATGTGGCCTTATCTCAATTTCGTTACATAAAATCACTCTTATAGTTTTAGCTAGACATCAAATCCATATTATTATTAACATTACAATAATTGCAGACATTGAATTATAAGGTTAGTTTATTTTCTAATTGATTCACTTTAGATTACTTAACAAAAAATGTAATTGAAAAAATATATGGACTGCCACCCGTTGGTGTGTGCATCGGTAAGTCCTTTCACTTAATAGAAATGTAAGCAAGATTGAGATATATAGCATTAAATAAGATTCTATATGTTCTAAGGAGGATCCCTATTGATTTTTGGTACTGAACTCAACACTGTTCTAAAAGTTATTAATGATCAGATTCTCTGTTTTTTTCTTTTCTTGTAAAAATTATTGTCACTTTTTTTTCATCAAATTTAAAAGAAACACTCACAATCTTGAGCTTCAATATGGCCCAATGGCAAGAGGGAGGTCTTTTGTTGGACTGTAATGAATGAAGGAAGGAAATAATTAGTGTTGCAACTATAATAATTGCTTGCTCTGTGGTGGTACTATTATGTAAAAAATATACCCTACATCACATTCCTTTCAAAATTAGAAATAATAATGTTATGAAGAGTATTATACTCACATCATTAGCCCACTGATGTTTATATAGATGGCGCCTTTTCCTTGCTGGTAATGGAGAAGGATTATCATTAACTAAAGATTTGCTTTTAAATATGGAGCCCTTTTTCTTTGTTATTACCAGTTTAACACTAGGTTTGTCCTCCATTGGAACATCTGCTTCATTAACACCTGCAGGTGCCTTGAAATGCTCTTCAGTTTGAATTCTTTGGGATTCTTCCTCAGAATTTTCATTAGGACAACTATTGTAAGCTGAATCTAATGACTGGGTTTGTGTATTCAACTGGTCTTCATTTGAGTCATATGCTTCAGTTACTTGATTGTCTGTGTGGTCACATGGGATTTCTACATTACTATCCACTTGCTTCTCTTCCACATTTTCTGATTGATTTACTTTCTGAGATTCTAATTGATCCTCTTCTTGTAAATCTGGTTGACTTTTCACTTGTTTAAGTATTACATTGTCTGTTTGACACTCATCTTCCTGCTCCTGCTTTTTCTCTTCAGGTACATCTGATAAATCTTCCAATTGTCCATCAACATGTTCTCCTTCTACGTTACTTTCTGTCAAATTTTCAGTATGATTATTAGCAACTGCATGTTTTTGTTTATTCTTTTGTTTTTTATGTGACTTTGATTTATGGGAATCAATTACAGATTTAGGTTTATCGCTCTCTCCAGATAATATATTAATCAAATCTTTATTTTCCAAGTGAGATTCAGTAGCTTTATCAGTTCCTGCTTGAACCTCATTTAAATCATTGGCATCAGCTGAAGCTGCAACTTCTAGCTTCCGTTTACTCTTCCGCACCTCCTTTTTAATATCACTAACAGTCTTTGTTCCATGTTTGGTTACTTTAGATGTTAATGCATCTAAGTAATCATCATTTTCACTATAATTAATGTTTGGTCTATTTCTTCTTGAGCGACCTGTACCCCCCTCAGGAGGTTTTGGTTCTGGTAATAGATCTTTTGATTCAGATTTTGATCTTGTTATAGTACTAGTAGAATCTAAGTTACTTAATTGTGACTCAATTTTGTCTGTTTGTGTTTTACTTTTAGATTCTTTTTCATTTTCTTGTATTGGAGATGCCAAAGTTTTATATAGGTCATATGTATCAGTGCCTGGTAATGGAGATATAACTTTTTTAGCTGGTTCATCCTCATTATTTTTGTGATGGCGTTTATGTGACTTATGGTGCCCATCTTTTTTATCCTTTTTCTTTTCCTTTTTACTTTCTTGATTTAGTGATGAGCATTTTATAGTAATTTTAAGACCTTCATGTTTTGGAGAACATATAGTTTCCATGGATGGACTTTTTTTATGATCTATATCAGAATGTATATCCAAAGATGAATGTCTATCAGATCCTGGAGATGTAAATCCTTCGTTTGAGTCAGTGCTAACTATTCTTGATGTTCCTTTTGATATTCTAAGTACAATAGGTGGAGGTTTACGTTCTTCATTTGCTTCTTTACTGGTTGAAGGACTCACTACATCTGTTTTAATTGGCACTGGACTGTAAACTAAAGGACTAGTTTTAGGTGATTGTACCTTTGGTGGTATTGATTCATATTCAGTTGTCAGCTCAGGTATGGGACTGTTGCTACCATCCTCAGCATAGTTTATGACTTTGTTACGATTACGCACTAAGTAACGTTTATTCGGCGGTTGTGAGTTCTCACTTGGAGGTTCTTCCTTCTTTGCTGCTTTAGTAGCCACAGTATTCTTTTTTGATTTAGTTTTTTCAGAATTGCGTCTAGGCAATTCTGGTGAGGATGAATCTCTATTGTATCTACTTCGTTTTGTGGTTTTCTTTTCCTTATTAGTTGGCGGATGTTCTGGAGAAAGTGGTGGGGCAGTCGCTTCTGGAGCATAAGCAATTTGTGGAACTGGAGGGAAAGGCTCAGCATTACGAGACTTAAAAAATTTCTTCGGCTTTGGTGGTGGTTGTTCAGTATCTACAGCTGGAACGGTTAATGGGCTATTTTGATCTTGCACTGGCTTTTTTAGAAGGCTACTTGCATACGCTGAAAACCATTACTTTAATTAGAGCAGATTCATCTACAACACAGCAATATACATACATTGATAATTACTTTAAAATACGCAATAAATAACAAGCTCAATTCCAACTAGAAACTTACTTTCTCTTACTAGTATTGTTATTTTAAGAAATGTTTTATTGGTATATTATTTGTTTTTATTGTTGCTGTGCAACTAAAATATATGAAAATAAATTATTCAAGGCAAAGAAGTACAACTTACCGTAAGGAGCGCTCCTGATAGAAGTGAAGCTAGTGATACCCCACTTGCCCACAGTTCCAGCTGAACGCGCCGCCGAGGGGCAATTACTGTTTTCTCTAAACAGAGCACTATCAAGCGGCACGGCTACGCTGCCGCCTCGGCCTCTACCCCAGCGTGACATTCTGATAATTTCATCAAAAACGTTGACACCTGCACTGATTCGGTATAACAATCACTTCTCCAATTGTCAAATAAGCAAGTGGCACATGTTGCGCTTATAAACGTAATGTAAGTCAGTTCTTAACTTAATCTTAATTTCTTCACTCAAATCTCATACAATAGTATTTTACTGTTGCAATGAAAACACAATCCTTAAAGATAACACACCCGCCATTTTTATGGGAGCTAAGTACTTTTCCCACCAACGCATTCGTATCTATAGTAAACTAACAACGAGCATCGCACTCTAACAAAACTTACATTACAATCACCAATTTTCTTTGAACTTTTGAGGTAGTTATTTAATTTTGTCTGTAACATTAATAATGACAAATAAGACACAAACTGCGATGTTGTCATCTCATAACAGCAGCAGCGCCATATTGGCTAAGCAAAATATGGAGAAATATTAACCAATAGGAGCGCGCCCGATACCATAGACTAAGTAAAGGTTTTACCTTTTGAAAAGCTATGTTGATTGCATATTTACAGCCAAGGTGAATTTTTTTTTTGTTACACCTAGGTATTTTAATAACATATTATGACAATGTTCGTAAAAATCTATCATGTGTATAATATGAAGCAATTTATTTATGTAAGTATAAGCATAGAGGGAATACTAAAATAAATAGACCATTCTTGACAAAGGTATCATATTTGAAACAAAATTGTGCACTGAGGCGCACACACTAATAAGAAGTGCTAGCTCAAACGTAACTGAGGCACAGAGGCATTAAAAACGAGCTCGAGCGAAAATGTGCTAAACAGGATTGCGTCCCTTTCTACTTGAGTGACCATACGATTTGGTATTGTTGGACTTTTGACGGATTTCTGTGGGAGGCTGAATATTTATTAGAATGTATAATATTTATATTACATTTTGTTCTAGGGCAAACACTGCGATATTTAGTATCCAAAATGTGTATAGAAGCTATAACATGCGTGCGATGTAGTAGACGAAAACTTACGTCCACAGATAAAAAAAATAAAAAGCAAGAAGAAAGTTCGATATTTATTTTAATAATGTATATTGACAGGTAAACTATAAGAGAAAATCAAGAGCTGCTTTGTAGCTTCGACGTCAATTATTTTATTTCAGTTTTTTTATTTATTACTCGTAAATGTTATGACTTTATAAACCTAAATGAATCATTAAGAACAAAGTTAAATTATAAAATTGTAAATAATGTGTAATATTTTATTCTAACTATTTCTAATTATTTACAAAAGAAGATTTAACACCCTATTTTTCAAAACTATATTTCTTCTTTGTTATATATAATTTAATTATTGTTATAATTAAAAATGAAGGTAAATATAACGTGCCTTCATTTAAAAAAATAAACAATGATTAAAAATTAAAATATCTAATTTCAGGTGAGCGTTAGAGAAACGAGGATTGCAAGTAACAACATAATAAATAGTGCTCTAAGGAGTTATTCGGATTAATCCCATTCGCCAAATTTCACGAACGCATATCGTGACAAAACTCACGATACCATCCACACCATCTGGATGCTTGGTGGTCATCCACTGCGTGTTTAACTAGCAGTTTTTCTCCTGGCACACCCTCTTTGTAGAATTGTTTACCACCTACGAATTTTCCGGGCCGATACGACTTAATGATGTTTAAGAAAAGAGCTTACACCCTTTCTAAAAGGCTAGCAACGCACCTGCAATTCCCCTTGTGTTGCAGTTGTTCATGAGCGGCGGTAGTCACTTACTATCAGGTGAGTCGCAAGCTCGTTTGCCCCTCTTCTACTTACATAACTAATAAAACTAATTGTGTTAAATTTACAACAACGAATGTTCAAAATCTGAATACCAATGTGTTTTTAAATGGGGAGGAATTGAGCCCTGTTGTATCCACTGTTTTTCTTGGCATCACTCTTGACGCAAAGCTCCAGTGGGGCCCCCATATATCCAAATTAGCAAGCAGACTAAGTTCTGCAGCCTATGCTGTAAAAAAGATTAGAGGTCTCACTAGTGTCGAGACAGCTAGATTAGTTTATTTTAGTTATTTTCATAGCATAATGTCTTATGGGATTTTGCTATGGTTAAATGCGGCTGATTCAGAAACTATTTTTGTTTTACAGAAGAGGGCCATTAGAGCTATTTACAATCTAAAACCGAGAGAGTCTCTTAGAGATAAATTTAAAGAAATTAATATATTAACTTTGGCCTCTCAGTATATTTACGAAAATTTAATGTATGTTCACAAAAACAAAGATAGTTTTAGTAAAAGAAGTGATATACATTCTGTAAACACTAGGAACAAACACAAGCTAGTGATACCAGTTTCTCGACTCCACAGAGTCAGTAATTCATTCTTGGGGCAATGTATACGCTATTACAACAAGGTCCCGGAAAGTGTACAGGTTCTCTCTATTACCAAGTTTAAATGTTTTATTAAGCTGAAACTGTATAAAAAGGGTTATTATAGTATAAATGAATACATGGTTGATAATAACCCCTGGGAATGAGGTGATCGCTTCCAAGCAGTTTCTAAAATAAATTTTGTAAATAGTTCGTAATCATTTATATTGTAAAATTTATTTAAAAAAAAGTCCCGCTGGGTTTCTTGCTGGTTCTTCCCAGGACAGAGGGTTTTTTTCGAACCAGTGGTAAAGTAAAAAATGACTTTCAATAAGAATTACACATGTAATGTATATTGAATAAAAAATATTCTATTCTATTCTATTCTATTCTATTCTATTCTACTCCTTTCTAAAAGGCTAGCAATGCACCTGCAATTCCCCTGGTGTTGCAGATGTTCATGAACGGCGGTAGTCACTTACTATCAGGTAAGCCGTAAGCTCGTTCGCCCCTCTTCTATAAAAAAACCATAACACTCTACATTTAGTCACAAAATAACAAATTTTACTTTTTCAACCGACTTCAAAAAAGCAGGAGGTTCTCAATTCAACTGGTTTCCTTATGTGTGTTATTTCATAACTTTTTTCTAGGTGCCCTGATTATGTTGATTTTTATTTGAACGCTGGTGCTTCTCATGTAGTTCCAAATAAATTTGATCAAGATCTGACCAGTAGTTTTTGAGTTATCTTTAATAATGCGTATTTAATTGCCTTTGACTACAATGATGATTTAGTTTTATTTTTTTTTCTCATTTTATTTATATTGAAGTCGGTTGTACAAATATTTTAACTTTACTACTTGTTGTAATATAAGTATAAAGTATAAATTAATTAACTCTCATTTAAACTTATATTGCAACATCACTATAACGTATTGGCTGTTAATTATATTGTGTATACATGATTAGTTGATTAGTGGTATAGCTTAACTCATAACTGTGACCCTTTGTTAATTACCTGATCATGTATGTCATAATAAAAGTGAGTAAGCGCTCATTTTATGAAAAATCAACGGTATGGCTTTAAATTTTCATGTCTTTTTAAGCGCATTTGTATGAGTCGCAAAACCCTCGACCCTTAAATATAATCCGCAAACTGCGGATTATATTTATCATAACATTTCCGGAAACAACATCAATCCATCTTTGCATAAGCTATTCATTATTAGGAAATCTAGAGAAAAACAATTCCATTATTTATTAAAACAGTAGCCACCGTACTGCTTCAAACAATAATAGCAAACTATATTACCTACTTATGAAATGATAATGATATACCACTTCCAAGATAAGATTTACTCTTACATCCTTCCACACAACAAATTAGCACCATTTTAACTGTCGAAGTTATAAAATAAATTCAGAAATAATTATAACAACAAGATCGCTATTAATGATTTCTTATATTTACGCGAAGACTACACATTAAATGAAACTATTTTTACGGATTATATCGCGTTTAATTTAACTTATTAAATCCCATACGTTTCGGGTGCTTTAAAGCACCCATAGTCACGGGTACAAAATAAAATATAAAGGAAATGCTACGGTAGTAATGGACACGTCAGACTATAATTTCAAAATACATAATTTTTATCGGACGTAAGTACATACAAAAAGGTCAAAATAGACCCTACAACTAATACGCTTAAAATAGCTACCGATTTAATAAAGAAACACTCCGAAAAATTGAATCTCGACGTTAATTCGACATTATCATCATGTGCCAAATCACCGAGGTTGTATGGGTTACCGAAAATACACAAACCAAATGCTCCACTACGTTCCATAGTGAGCCTGGTCGATTCACCAACTTATAAGTTGGTTTAACACTTGGCAAAAATACTGTCACTACTGATAGGACATACCAGAGCACACACAAAGTATTCATACCATTTTGATAGTGAGATAAAAGACCTACATCTCACTGACAATGAAACTATGGTCAGTTTTGATGTTCAGTCACTATTTACGTGCTTACCTATTGAAGACTGCATCTCAATTGTAACTAGGAAGCTAGAAGATAACAACATGACTACAGATTATGCAGTATTACTCAAACACTGCCTCACAGCTGGCTATCTATTGTGGAAGGAAGAGTTCTACAAGCAAGTGGACGGTGTGGTGATGAGCTCACCTGTATCTCTCGTAGTCTCCGACATATTTATGGAGGGCTTTGAGGAGAAAGCCCTTCTTGTTCAAACAAGCGGTACATAGACGATAATTTCACAATTTTACTATCTGACAAAAATAACGTGCATTTTTAGACCACCTTAATTCCATAAACTCTAAAATACAAAAACAATTCACAGTGGAGTTAGAGGCAAAAAATTATTTAGCTTTCCTAGATGTTTTAGTTATCCGAAATCCTGATAACATCATTGGTCACACTGTGTATAGGAAAATGACCGGTACCAACCGGTATTTAAATGGTGAATCTCACCATCATCCATCACAGTTAGTTACCGTGGAAAAATCTTTGTTTCAGAGAGCACGAGGGATCTGTGACAGAAAACATCTGGCCGCTTTGCTTCAGCATGTCGAGCAAGTATTGTAAGACAACACCCTTCAGGTGCCAGTAGTTAAGT